CCCCAAAACCCCAAAACCCCATTGATTTGAAATGTGTGAAATAAAGTAGAATAAATAAATATATTAAATTGAATATGTCTCAATCATTCTAAGGAGCACAGCCTAAAGTTGTAAGAAACAAGCAAAAGTTCAAGGAAACTTATCAGTCAAATATCGTTATCACTGAGGAACTCGATGATGGCTCCAACCCTCTCAACATTATGTACGATAAGAGAGTGTTTAGAGGAAACACTCACAATATGAATATTCTAAAATAAAATATGACTCCTGCTTAAAAAGAAGAGGAAAGAATCAAAATGGAGAGAGATAGAAAGAAAGTTGAGATGATCAAGACTTAACTCATCGAGTTCAAAAAAGCAAAGAATAAGACTTCACCATATGACTTAAGACCAGGTCCACCAGCAAGAATTGAAGTAGACTTGACCTATTTCTTGACAGAGCAGGGAAAGCAACGACCAGATGAAATAGAAGTTAAGATTCAAACTGACGATTTTTAAGCTAAGCCACCTACACCTCCTTATATTCCTAAAAAGACTGGAATTGATAAGATTACATAAATTGAGGATTACGATCTATTTGATTATGATAGAGAAGTCTAGCCGATTCTAAATGTACTTCTAACAAAGTCAGTTGAGTAGGCTATCTTAGAAGTAGAAGAAGAAACCGAAATTGAAGAGATTAGAAAGTTCAAGAATGAATGTGGTAAGAGGAAATAGGGAGAGAGAGAAGATTGGGAGCAAGAAGTGAAAAAGGAAATTGCCAGAATTAAGCAAAAGAATAAGGCTTTGAATATTGCAAGAATTAAGAGAGATTAGCAAATTAAGACTATGCATAAGTTATAATGCTTGAACATTGCTAAAAATTATCTCTAAAATACCTTTAGCAACTCAATGCAATATCTAGCTGATAATAACTACTGGAGGAACAAATTCTAAGATTAACTTCAAGTTATCTACAAAGAATGGCTTTTCAAAAAGATTGACGAAGAGTCCTAAAAGACTTCAAAGGCTAGTGATTTCTAAGATGGTATCTTAAATGAATAAGTTACAGATATTGGAAAATAAAAGGAACCTATTAAAAAGTAAATCTAATCAAACATCTAGAGAAAGGAAAAAGTTAGATAAATTGAGAGTAAAGAACGAAGAACAGTTCATTTCATTTTTAACACTGGTGTTTCTTGCAAATCAACTCCATTTGCCAGAAAATATGCGAAATTGTTGGAAGGAACTTTAAAAGAATTCGAAGATGAGGAAAGAGATAGGTTTGTCTAATTTATCGAGAAATTTGAGAATGAAGATTTAGATGATGGAGAGAAAAATCCCATTATTTATGAAGATATTCCCTACTTTACTCTTGAACTAACAAGTTTAAATAGAATCGCTTTCTCAATTGCTGATGATCCATTCTACAAATCTTTGAGAAGCAAATTCTACCCAGAGTTGATCGTTACTAATATAAAAGGTAAAATATTAGCTAGAATTAACCCAGAAAATCCCAAATCAGAGAAATATGGACTCGAGTATCTTGATGATTTTAGAGAGCCTAATCTAAAGCTTAATGATGACAAGAAAGTTAGAATCGTTCTATCTCAAATGAAGAAACCTGGTACAATGATACTATTTACAGTCAAAACTTTTGATTTAAGAAAAAGTCCTCCTAAAGACGGTGAGTTTGATAGAGCTTGGTTTAGATTGACTAATGAGGATACAAACTAAACAATAGACTATAAGAAAATAAAGGAAATTGATAAGCCAGAGGGTTTTGACGAGGATGCACCAATAGAGGATGAGAATGAAGATCCAGCTGCCAAACCATTTATCACATATGTTGCAGGTAGAATTTTCATGGATACTAATGGTAGATGGGTTTATGAAAGTTACAACCACTGTTTCACCTCAGATAAATATCCAGATCTAGTCGAAAATCTAGTAGATATGTATAAGAGAAGTGAGGAAGAGATAAGATTCTAGGCTGATGAGATATAAAGAGCAAAGGAAAAGATTGCTGCTAATGAAGAAGAAAGAAGATAAGCCGCAAAATTAGCTGCTGCAAAGAAGAAGAAAGCAGGTAATAAAAAAGATCAAAAGGAGGAAGAAGAGGAAAAGAAAGAAGAAAAACCTCCAGCACCAGTTAAAAAAGATCTAGATCTTTTTGTTCCAAATGAGTTCGGATTAGCTGTAAAAGAGAAAATAGCCAGACCATTTGTCTTTGGGCCTATCGAATTTACTGGATTAAATCTTACTGATGATCAAGAACCCTTTAGACATGATTAAATCCGTAGATTTATTATAGAGACTCTAGAAAAAACTCCATACATGCCCGAGAATATTTGTATACATGGCTTCAAAGTTACTATTAAAAAGAAAACTTTAAAGAGAAGAAACACTATCGTTAAGCACTCAAGATTCCTTAGAAACTTAGAGGTATATCCAGTTTTCCCACCAGAGCCCGAGTCATTAATTGCTGATCCTGAGAACTCTGGAGCTAAAGAAGAGGAAGATGAAAATTGATAAATACTATATAATTCCTTATATTTAAGAGATTCAAATTTCATTACATTTTCAGAATTAAGGGGTTTTGGGGTTTTGGGGTTTTGGGGTTTTGGGGTTTTGGGG